CCTACTGTATTCCTTCCAGTGAGTCATTATGGCCGTGTCTGTTCAACTCTTCTTCTCGTTAACCAATGAAAATAAATCTACACGCGAAAATGGGTGATGGAGGCAATGAACGTTTAAAACCCAGATCATTTCAATTGTTTGAATGGAATATACCCACGCGATTTGCACGTAAAAAAATCATGAAACCAAAATTCTGAAGTATTAAAATACACGAATGTGTGAGTGGACAAGATTCTGGCGACGTTTATATACGTGCGTTTACATCATGTCATCATGGAATTCAGTACCATATGTCGACGATATAAATGTGATATGTTCATAAAAAGCCAGCGCCATATATAATTTAATCTAAAATCATTTTGTGGGACTCTTTTTAATCCAATTGACTTTATTTTCTTCATAAATGTTAAATAATTAATTTGAGTATGTAGCGTAGGTTAAACGGTGAATGGTTAGATATTGTACGATGTATATACACATGTTGATCAATCCATTGAATGGTCACTTTTTAATCCGGTTGAATTTGTTTTCTTCATAAAATGTTAAACATACATTATGCAAGAGCTAAATATGCATATTACAGGTCTTGCTTTAGGCCTGAAATGTTATCTAAATTATTAATTAGACATTAATCAACTTATCCAGACCATAATCACCTCTCGATGTCATCGCTAGTCTGCGATATTTACTCGATATGGATCCGAGTTGCTGCTCTACGCTCATTCATGATTAAGAAGTGGGTAATCGAGACTATGTATTTTATCGTACCGACTTTAGTAATGATGATCGAGGCTAGGCCCAAAATTCAATCGCCAAATTCTCCCTTTACATTATCTTCCATAATGTATCTTTAAATAAATCATTTGAGTAAATTTTAGCGTGGATTAAACAGCTAAGAATTAGATATAATAATAAATATGCACGACAATATAGAAGTTTTAATATGACTCTTGGACCACACATACACCTTCCTTATTTTGATAACTGTTTACCTATTAGCTAATATTTCAATGAATACTTCTTTTAAACTTGACATCCTTTAGTTAATAATGATAAAATTTACATCCCTTGGTGAATAATGACAAAATCATATATATTATGTGACATAAGTGTCATTGACGTCAGACATAAAATATGATTGAATTACATCCTATTTTCTTCTAGATCCCAACTATTCAAAGAAACATGGTCATGGCGACTTCAAAGAATAAGTTTAACTATCATCAAGAAAATAAATGATTTTATGTAAGATCATATCAAGACAACCACCCCAGGCTATTATCACAATTCCGAACACCCGCCTGCATAGTGAAACTATAGCGATTTCTGGTTTCCTTGAAATGGCTTACAATCGGTTTGTCTCATGAACACATTTTGCATACAATTTAATCTGAACATTGTTTATTTCAGTTTTAAAGGATGTAAACGGCTATTGGTAGAATTATCATGTCCAGCACTGTTTCCATCAATGTTTTATTATACCCCATTTTCATCGTAAGCAGCCAGTATCCCTGGCATTCAGGTTCCATATTAATCACAAACAACTTGTTTCTATCAATGTTTTATCGAAAGAAGGCACTTTTTATTTAAGTTTTTGTATCACAAAAAGCTAAGACATCAATGTTTTATCACATACATTGTGTATTCACAGTCAGTTTCCATTGATATCTTACAAGAAGGTTTGATACCTGAGCCAGTTTTCATCACTTATTTATCGAAGACTGACGGTTTCCATCAGTGATTTGCCATATATAGTCAGTTTCCAATTATGTTTATCGTAAGCGGCCTCAGTTCGTCATTAACAGTTACGATCCATTTAGATTAATGCTATATTATTGACTTACTGTTTCTCAATGTATATATCACAGACAGCCAGTTTAATTCATTATGTGCCTTAATCTGTCATTTTCCATCCATTTTTTAACACATAGACAACCACTTTCCATCAATGTCTCATCATTGAAATCGCTAGTGCCATGGTCGTTTACGCAGCCAGTTTTCCATCTTGGTTCACAATGATTTGTCATGACAGTGCTTCTCAAAGTATTGGATGTTTTTTAAGTGTTAAAGGGCATTGTGTGAGATAGATAATCAGTAAGGAACATGTTGAAAATTTCACACAAATTACTTTAATCTGAGTGAAGTTATGAGTGGCTACGTTTATCGAGTTTCAGACAGTGTATCAAATTTACATTAGTTTTAATTCAAATAAGAATTTTCATATAAAAGAATAGTACGCTGTGTATAACCCAATTGTCAACGTTTTATCGGCAGTCTCCTTGGGTGACCGCATGTATTTTCGGAATATTTCGACTTGGCCGGACATATTAGCGTTTAATCCACTCAATATCTAAGTGACCTTATGTTTTCAAAAAACAAGATACAAATGAAGGACATATACTTTAAATAGTTTAAAATGATGGTTAACGACGATTAGATTTGTGAGGTTAATATTCATGTCAGCTGTAACTATTACAGGTGTGAAGAAAATACCATAATAAAGTTAACCTCCAACCTCTATGTACACGTTTATATTACAGGTGTTTATGGTATAAGTATAATATAGTTAACCTCTAACCTATCATTACGCAATTATCTTATAACGTGAATGAACGTCATTAAAACCACTTAGCTTAAAGTAGATTTAATTATAGACATTCAACTGAGGCAACCTGTTTACTTTTCTGAACACCAAAACTGTTTATAGTGTAGGTTATCGATACGTATTTCGAAATTTATATATAAAAAAGAAGAATGCATGAATCCCTCCAAGCTAAATAAAAAAACCGTGTAACATAAATACGGTTGACTTGATCATGTGTTATATTTAAAGAATCAGCACACTCTCCGGTGAGAAATGCAATAAGCGGACATCCTAGTTTGTCCGTCTGATCTAAAAGATTATGATGAAATTTCTGAAGACATTGTTTTGCGTAAGATTTCTTAAAAATGACGCAATACATTGTTTGCGTTAGTCTGATTATAGTCAGGGAAGTTGACTTTTTTCCGTATCAGGGAAGTTGACTATTTTCCGTATCACTGGGGATCTAATACTAGTGGTACTGTGCACGAGGCATAGTAAGCTTATTATTGGTATAATTTTAATCAAAAAAGTAATGTACTCTACTGACAGAAAAGTTAATCAAGGGGTAAGAAATATTTCAAATTTAATGCAAGTAAGTTTTTTTCAGGACTTGAATCGTCGTAAAGTGCTGTAATAAATAAATAAATAAAAAATGTATATTTTAGAAAAGGATTGGTAAGTATCTGTGATGTATGAATGTTTGTTTACTAAAATTTTCACTCAGCGACATAACTGTTCTTAAGAACAGTTTTCTTTATAAATCTTCACTTCAAACATATTAACAATATTTGTGTCTGTTCAGGTTTTTAAAACAAACATTATAACATCATCAGTACCTGACTTATATCACATAAATCTTAATAGTTTTTCATCGCAGACTGTCACGCGGCAGATTATGTAGCTCGGTTAAAGTTACGATTATTCAAATGCGACAATGCATACTTTATTTATATATAGACACACTGAACAGACTGGGTTTTTTATTTTCCTTTCTTTCGGCACGTATTTCATCTGAATTTATAATTAAAATTACTATTATCACAGCCAATGGATTATTTTTAAAAGGGGGAATATGAATATAACAAAATATGTAAAAATTTCATCAAAATATATTTTGGTGACTGTCAAAACAGGTTCGTAGTTTTACATATTTTTGTTCCCCGCCTTTCGAAGAAAGCAAGGGACTATGCTGTCTGTCCGTCCGTAACACTCTTTGGGACACAATAACTTTATTTCGAATTGAGGTAGAATGTTCAAACCTGGTGTAGGCTTTCATTGGGTGAATGTTTTGATGGAGTTCGAAGATGACCATTGTCTGCTTAGGCTAAGCAGAGCTAAGCAATTTGATTGGTTAATGCTTTGGAACAAGATAACTTTGGTTCTAATTCAGTGAGAGCGATGAAACTTGGTGTATAGTTTCATCACATCAATACCCTGACAAAGTTTGATAATGAGCATTTTCGGCTCAGGGTAAGCAGAGCGATAAGCAATTTGATTGGTCAAGACGTTGGAGCTAGACAACTTTGATTCTAATTGAGTGATAGTGGTGAACTTCGTGTATAGTTTCATTACATCAATACCGTAACAAAGCTCGATACCGAGCATTTTCTGCTTAGGCAAAGTAGAGACTTCAATCTGAATTGTCGAGACTTTGGAACACAATAACTCTCTTTCTAATTGAAGTAGACTGTTCAAAATTGGTGAAGGCGTCTATTAGGCGAATGCCTTGACAGAGTTCGGTCATGCGCATTTTCCACTAAGCCTAACCAGAGATAAGCAATTTGATTGGTTGAGACTTTTGAACACGATAACTTTTGTTCTAATTGGGTGAGAGCGATGAAACTCTGAGTATAGATTCTCTATATCAATACCTTGACTAAGTTCGATGGTGAGAATTTTCTGTTTAGGCTAAGTAGCAATGAGCAATTTGATTTTGGAACACAACTCAACTCAGCTTTTAATTGAGGTATAGATGTTCATTGTCGAATGTCTTAACTGATTTCAATGATTAATATTTCCCGTTAAAGCTCAGAAGAACTAAGCAATTTCATTGATCGGTGCTTTGGGACAAAATTACTTTGATTCTAACTGATGGAGATTGATAAAAGTTAGTGTATAGTTTTACTACCGGGTACTGAGTTTGATTGTGGACATTCCATGCTTAGACTATTAGCATAGATCATCAATTTAAATACTCAATACTTTTGAAAAATATGAAGGTGCAATTAATTAATATGTGTCATTGGTTTATTTTTTGTATTTCGACGGGGGACATCATTCTCAATGTTGGCTCGTTTATTGTTTTGTGTGTGTGGTAGTATCGAATTTTTTTACCCAAGAGATTAACTGTATGACTGCTTTTCACGAAGTTTGGAACCAAAAGGAGGCTAACGGGATTATGTTGTTATTGCACGAAAAGCACATCTATAAATGCCAATATTCCCCCCTTTTTGCTACCTTACTGCCACTGAAGTACCACATGGCCTCTTTGTTATCTACTTATATATCACTTAACCATCATCACATATCTCTAGTAGATAGCACAAGAGGCAGACGTCAGTGCTGTGGATTTCCACAGTTGCCAAACGTGAGGGAAACAACGCCGAACTTAGCTCAAGTTTCCTGTTTCTCGAGTCTACTATACGGGCTTTATAATATACATGGTGTACATGAACCACGCGGCAGCAACCCGTAATTCTTTCTACTTACATGATATACTAGATAAGACATACTGAATCCATAACTTGTTTTCTATGGACTTTATTGTATATATTTGATAGTAAATATAAAGGGAGTTTATAGTGTAGTGTTTAGAGTGGGGAGTTTATTAATCGGACGAGGAGTTTGTATTGCCAGAGATGTTGTTGGCCAACAGGTAGGTTACTTTGAACTTTTCCTTTCTTTAGTTAGTCTCTTTGAGTGAGTAATTTCATTATACGGTATATAGGTGGAATACTATGTTGGTGATTCATAATGCAATATATTTCGATACACAAGGAAGTTTATACCATTCCTTAAGGGATTTTCAATATTTTAGCAAGGAATCGATATAGTATTTTTGTTTTTGTGTCTAAAAATGGTTAATGTTTGACGTTCACAAATTCGTCTAAATAATATTGTTGTTTTTCAATATAAAAATGGTTAATGTTTGACGTTCACAAATTCGTCTAAATAATATTGTTGTTTTTCAATGTAAAAATGGTTAATTTTTGACGTTCACAAATTCGTCCAATCTAATAATAACGATATGATATTTTTGTTTTGTTTATTTTGTATGTGTGTGTAGGATGGTGGTGGTGGTGGTGGTGGTGGGGGGGGGGGTTACTATAACAATTGCTATAATTATAATAGACTGGTGTTTGGTGGCATAAATGGTGTTAAACTCCAGCATATAATAAAATCTTGGTTAGGTCTTGGTCTTTCCGATTTATAGATATATGTATGGTACATGAACTATGTGATTAAATTTCGAAATATTAACCGGAAGTCATTTTGTTTTCTAATATTAGTTTTTGACTTGAAGTGTCCACCGTGGAACAGAAATAAATTTTCACCCCAATATTAATTACCTTGATAACCTGACCTGTATGTGTTCCTAAGCGTCGTTATTAACTAACAGAGAAGTAGCTACATCCATATATTCTGAATAGATTGTGAATATTAATTCTGTCGGTGGTTTTCTGTCTTGGATCATTTCAATTCAAAATGTATGTATCACATAATCCTTGATTTGTGGCTTTGTGCCGACAATATATTGTTCGGTTCAGGATAGCGATGAGGCGATGTATGAACAATCTATATCCCTACCTGTGTTTGACAAAATTCTACTTCCTATTAGCATCGCGTACGTCATCATATAAACAAAGTAAGTTAGTCTCAAAATAGCCGAAATATTATGTAAGACTCCATTCATTCCTTTCCCGTTGTCGACGAAACTGGTCTCACTGGTGAACTGGAGAGACAGATTTTAGATTTAAAACTCAGTTGTTGAAAGTATCCTCGAGGCAAACGCCTCACCCTTAAAATAGATAAGTCTCTAACTTAATATCATCCAAAATCTTCGACATTGAAAACATTAATTATTTGTCAATTTAAATCAACATTGATGTTGTGATCTTACGGGGAAAAGATGGGCTTCTGATATCCAATAATTAAGACAAAATAAATATTTTACCATTGGTACACGAATCGTGTACCATAATGCGTTTCAGCGTCATTTGTAACAAGGGACTCGTAGAAAGAGACTAGATATATTCCACAAGTCATGTCGTATTCTTATCTGGAGAGCATGCGCAATACATACTATCGGTATAGAGTGGAATAACCAGACGCTAGAGATTGCCATTGGATTGAGACTTCTTGTGTATTTCGCCGAATATAACCGATTAGAATTTGCAGTACAAACAGAAATGATTGAATGTAAATCAGTTTATATACATTCACATTACATTATTATATACGTTGCAACCCATTTGTGTCAATTTCTAGATCCAAAATGTTAGCGATTTAGCACTATGCAATTGTAATTGAAAAATCCTTCCGTCATTTTCATTTATTTGATCCCACAGTAAGTTCCAATTTCTCAATTTATACTATTACACCAGCCAACTGTCCCACACAAACAGCACTGGCCACCCATAGGAGGCCTTGGAGAAAACCACGAGGTACGGCGTTGGGGTGGGGGTGCTCTTATCCTCCGTTCGAGAAAGAGTAATCACAGACCCATCTCAGTTTGTAACTACGAGGTAAAACAATTATAACGAAATTTAATATGCTTTGTGTTATAAAATTATATTAGATAGTACAATATGTTAATTAGTCTTTCAAACCGTCATCCTATCTGTGTATTTCTCAGTTATATACATTATGATTAATTACATAACAAACATCGTCTATATAAGTTTGTTGCCAAAATAAAGTGTACCTGGTGAATCTAAAATTTTGGCATTTTATTGTTAGTGCGTGTTCTGTGCCACCTGCAAACGTATTTAAACATAAATATAAGTTGAATGCCACCTCTGGCTGGTATGTATATACACTGATTGTAACTACTATATAAAAAAATGTAATATCTCTTTTAGCATGCCAACATTGGTCTAAATAACACTATTTTGTGGGTTAGATATACAAATCAACGTAAAGGGAGTAATTTTATTTGAAACGACTTAAATATTTACTAAATATTGTGACATTTACCCTAATATGTATACATGTAATTCTGTATTTAAATAAATTATCATCAATATGCTTTCAGAAATAGATTAACATGTAGCGTCAGTGCATAAATGCTAAATAAATTAATATGACTTCTATTCTGCGTATCTGATCATGTGAATTAAACTTATTTATGAATTATGCATCAAATATGATCCGTATTACATTTAATAAATAATGTTAATTCTGGTCTTTTTGCCCTGCGCCAACTTTTCCCCACATTTTCGTTGGGCTGAATGCTTTTCACTACAGACAGAGCAAGAAATCGTCATGTCTGCTCCAAATTTTGTGTGGGGCTGACCAGTGAAATTGTTATAATTAGACGAACTACAATTTGGGTGTACCGAGATGGCGAAATTTAATGACGATCTGCCTTCATCGACTTCTGTATACAAAAGCTACCCCTGGCAAGAAATAGAATCCAACTATTGTCGGCTTCCATATATATTGTGTATCAAATAACTGAAGCAGCAAAAACAGACTATTTTCGATCTAATTAAGATCAGCATCTAATCAGAGGGAGGTTTTTAATATTGGAAACAATGTCCCTATTCGTAACTTTTGTGAACAATTCACTGTCCCAATGTGATATGCCAGCAAGTTCAAAGGAGGCACTGATCACACCCCTATTGAACAAAGCGTCGCTAGATCATAATGTTTACAAGAACTATCGCCCAGTATTAAATCTACCTTATGTTTCCAAGGTCATTTAAAGAGTTGTTGCATCAAGACTACGAGATAATATGCGGCAGAATGGACTTGGAGAGGTGATCCAATCTGTCTACAAACAAGGACATAGTACTGAGTCTGCATTACTATGTGTCCAAAATGACATTTTTTAGAATCTTGATTCTGACGGGGCAGCCAAATTGGTTTTATTAGACTTATCAACTGCCTTCGATACGATCGACCATGACTTCCTGTTGCATACTCTAGAAAGGTGGGTAGGAATAACCGATGATGCCCTCTCATGGATGAAATCCTAAATCTCTGGCCGTTTCCAATCGGTGATGATCAATGGCGTTGGGTCATCAAAGTCTGAATTGGGTTTTGGAGTTCCACAAGGATCCGTCCTAGGCCCCATACTCTTTACTATATACACTTTACCTTTAGGAGATATAGATAGATCACATGGCGTTTCTTTCCACCTGTACGCAGATACCCAATTGTATTTGGGATTCCGTCCACTGAACGCAAACAACAAAAATGTTTTCAATTCACTTTCAAGATGTATTGAAGATACTAAGTGCTGGATGACCAGTCATCTCTTGAAATCATCACGTGCAAAATTAGAACAGTTTCAACTAACTGTATATGACTAAACAATAAACAATCAGAAAATGAAAGAAAAATCACATTAGAAGAAACATACATAAACATAGATAAACGCTGCCTTGTTTACTACTGATTCAAAGGCGATGCGTAAAGAGGTCTAAATCGAACATAATACCTAATTCAATCTTTACAAAGTAAAGTACGCTCACAACAAAAAGAAAGAGAGAGAGAGAGAGAGAGAGAGAGAGAGAGAGAGATGGGGTTTAACGTCCACTCGACACAAACTAGGTCATTTCGGGACTAACATATGGTTTAATTTTTTATTTATTTCAATAATTCGCTTGCGCGTAGGGGTCTTTAGCAGTGGGGGGAAACCGGAGGACCCGGAGAAAACCCACGAGGTTGGACAGGCGACACTACTCCTTGTCACGTACAACCGGGGATTCGAAACCACGCCAGTTGACTCAATGACAGACCTTTTGATACAGCGCGCGCTAACCATTCGGCCATCCAACCCCCCACAAAAAGAAAGAAAATAAACATGACTAGAATATATACGAATATATACGAATACATGTAGAATATATTAGAACATTCAAATATATTTAGTGATATCTAAATACATATATATATATTCGTACATAGATGTCAGATCACATCTCTTGAATTAAGAACAGAACACACAAAACGGTAGATATTCACCTTGGGCGGGGGGGGGGGGTAGTAGTAGCAGTAGTACATTAGGGGTTAGCGCCCGATTTCACCAAAAGTTATATCGCAGACACTGCCACTTCTGACATTTCAAGAGTTATATTTAAATTCTCTATTCTTTGTATACAACTACATACAGCTTAATCTTAGCTTAATGAACAATAAGCTGATAATATGGCTTTACAAAATATCGTCTCTAATTACTTTAATTTCGCAAAGATGTTTTTCATCAAAATTATTTATTTATTAATTGATAATTAATTACATTATCGGTGTAAAAATCTGAGAAATAATCACAAACAGCTTCCTTGAGATTTTATATTAATTAATTAGTCATCAAAGAGACCACTAAGGCATTAAGTGTTAAGATATATAATTTGTTTAACGACTCTAATCCAATATTCGGTATAGTTTACGTAATTGGAAACACGTTGGCATCGTATTTTGTCGTCAACTGTAGTTAAGGCTGCTATTATTGTCTTGAATAGAACATTGGTATATAATCAATAAAACTGTATATTCCATGAGAACAATGGATTCTGAAAAAAGGTTCCGATTTAAATAGAAATGCCAATAATTGTCAGTATAAAGCATTATGTTTTACAAATCAAAAAGGAAACAAAGATTTCTCTGTTCTGTGTAAATTATTTCTAGAAACAGATGGTTTGTTTAAAACATATGCTTCAAAACATTTCCTTAATTCAAGTGGATTACAGTGTCTTATTACAAAACGAATACTCCCCTGTTTTTAAAATTAGAAATAAAATCCCAGTGGAACATTTTGCACTTAACACGTTTGTTTTTGTTTATTTTTAAAACTGGGATTCGCATAACCTACATACACGTCGTTTCTTTGTTCTTGTTTCATGGAAAGTATCTCCCAGGCGGAAAGTCTGAGCTTTTATTGTCATTCGTCATGCCAACTATCACTACTTGTCAATAAATGCAACGCCTGCAGGGTCGATAGGAGATATTTCTGGACTTTTGGATGTAACGAAAACCGGGGTTCGGTGTTCAAATTATTATTAAACATAAACGATTCCTTGGCAGTATAGACCACTTAATTTTTAAATGAACTAATGGACATAGTGTGCAATGAAACAATGCTTATAAAATATTTTTGTCTTTTTGCTATAATTTCAACCTAGTAACTTGAAATTTCAACTTAGATAATAGTGGCCCTGCTTAGCTTCCGTAGTTAAAGTATATTTCGGAATGAATACAGCAGCGATTTGTCTAAGTAAACATTACACATCACTTCTTGGCAAGTCAAAATATACAACAACAGGTACATAAATATATATTTATTAAAAATTACAAGATACCTGACATTCTGACAAAATATCGCACTCTTGTCTTACTTAACACCGATCAGGGAAATCACCCGAACATATAACAAGAAAAACAGGCGAGCTAAATACCAATATGATTGCCACCATTTTTTCTTAAGTGGAAACTTGTGTACAACGAGAGTTATTAATTTGTCTATGTAAAATATACAGTAAAAATGCTGAACTACTTGTTAATACTAAAGAGAAAAGGTCGACACCATATCTAGGATAGTATTAAAATAGATGAGACCTGGCAAGAGTAGGTGTTTTGCATACACTATTCCTAGAAAATACTATACTACTACAAACAAAAAATAATAAACAAGTAAAAATAGTTCATATAGTCAATATTCCACCTTTGTATTGCAAGATGTCGCCGGCAGTTTTCTGGGTTAGCCGACAGTCTTAAGTTTGCCAAAGAAATCAAGATTTTAATTCTGATTTTGTTAATTGGTACGTGTTTTATTAAACACGACTCTGAGTAAAGTTGTCAACGAATTCTGATTCAGAAACGTCCGGTTGTCTTCAGTGAAACATCTCTTAACTTAAAGGGGAGTTGAGTCAAAAATTCTAATTTGGATCCAGTCTTTAGATTCAAGTGACAAACTCTATTTGTGTTGGCGAAGGACACGTGTAACAGATGTTTAAATTCGAATCTGAAATAGATAAATATATAGTTTCTATTTTCATTTTGTCAATAAAAGAGTTTTAGTGTTTGATAATGTTAACTCAAAAATCAAATTTTTATTGCATTCTGGCGTTTTATCAATAGGGCGTTTAACGTGTGACAATCAGGGGCGTATATATCGATTTTGTTTTGCGTGTGTGTGTGGGGTGGGGGGGTAGATACAATGTGACCAACTGATGACCAAGCCCCTTATACGAGTGTCCCAGCCACGAGCCGAGCACCACAAATGCGAACTTTCTAGAGGGTCCGGAAAAAAGTTTGAATCTATAGTCAATGAAATGCCTTTCCCTGGATTTTGCATGAGTAACGTGAGTAAAATTGAGTACTACGCATGGGAATTCATGTTATTTATTAAGAATTTTACAAGAACGTGAAAAGTACTGTTAATCTTTGACAACTTATGAAAGTGACAATTACATCATTTACACGAACCTATTATATATATATCTTCGATATATTGTTGTGGTGAATATATACATAAATTAACAAAGATATGACCATGTCCTTATATTTTCATCAAGCGTCCGTGCTTAGTCAAGTTTGCCAGGATCGATAGTGTCCGTCAGGTCAAGCTCACACGCAAGAGTGAATAGTTCATTGAGGAGTTCCTGTTTCAATACTGAACGCAAAACAGTTTTTACTAATTTGAGCTTTGAAAAAGCTGGCGCGTATTGTGATATCCAGTCAATACAATCAAACGTATATACAGATATCTTCATTTCCCTTCTATTTTGCCAGTGTTTGTCTATCTAATTAATTCATTTAGTCACCGATGCATGATTTTGAGACCGGGTGCACTTATCTGGAGACCGACTAGGACGGTGTGCGATTTTGGAATCTAAATATGCACTTGTTGGTCTGTAAATTACCTATTAATAAGCCAAGTAACAGACTAATAATCAAACAATTCTGACCTATATAAACTTTCATCTTTCAGCAGTTGGGAGACAACTGAAGACACCCCCCCCCCACACACACACACACGCACCCACCAAAAAAATAAATATCCAAAGCGTTACCGTTACTCCATTTTGTTTAATGCGATCATTAGAAAATACATTTTGTCGCGCTACGCAGAATTCAATTGAATTCAATAGCATAGCACCGCATGCAACCATTTGTCATTTAGTCAGTCAGCTGACGTGGTTTCAATTCCCCGGTTGTGCGTGACAAAGAGTAGGGTCACTTGTCCAACCTTGATGGTTTTTCTCCAGGTCCTCCGGTTTCCTCCCACTGCTAAAGATCCCTACGCGCAGGCAAATTATTGAGAAAAAAATTGACCATGTGTTAGTTCCGAAATGACCTAGTTTGTGTCGAGTTTAATGTTAAACCCCACCTCTCTCTCTCTCTCTCTCTCTCTCTGCAGCCATTTGTTATTGATTTTGAATTGTTATTTTATGGAATGCGACCAGTGCCAGTCTTTCCGTCTCGGCTATTGTCCAGGATAATTATTTACTCAAAGAGATATGCATGAATAAGAACGTAATTAGTTGTAAGGGTCGCTTAGTTTGTACCTATCGAACCAGATTTCTCTCTCCTCAACAAAATCACTTAAACCTAATGAACATTCGCCTTCGCATGAAACAACACTTGTGTTTTCCATTTTTAAATGTTTTATTGCACAGCAAATATTTGAGATATTTCACCTCGTATTTGTACTAACTGACATATTGATTGTCATTCTTAATGATTTCTTCATGCTATTGTTTTTATTTTCAGAATGTCACAGATCGAACTCAACTGATTGAAAATCAACAATCGACCACTTTTTCCATCCTATGGGATTACTTGGGTGGCTGGCGTAGATTTTGAGTGACACCAAAGCTGACAGACTTGGTCCAATCAACTGCCAGACAATTCACGAAGCGCACGTTCGCTTCTCGAGCTTGAGTGGTAGTCAGATTGAAAGCCATACCGTGTCAATAACAAGCTTGGATACACATCAACGACCAAGCTTGTCACTGCCAATACTTGTAGAAAAGTTGTAAAAGGGAAGTTGTGGAAATTAGTTCTGTTCAGTTAGAATTTCCATACCAGCGTGAAACCCTCCTTAGCAGTACCTGACAAAGTTTTCTCGACAAGTTATTTTCTCCCATGTTTATATATATCTACAGTCTTTAGTTCAGAACGGAAAGTTATACACTCGAGAGTATCGCTCTAGTTGTAGGATGGATCTCGATTATTGATTTCGGGGAGGAGTGAATAACCAGTTCGACAAGTTCGGCAAAGCTCATTCACAAACAATACTGAGCGGTTGTCAATTAGGACTTTAAGTGTTATTACACTGGGCAATTTACAGGAATTAAGTGGTGTTATAATTTACGAGTGTCTGTTACAGCAGTCGCCTGCAATGATAAAAGCAAACGATCGAATTTGACATAAGAGAGGGGAAAAGAAAACATACACAGGCCAATCAATCGAGTAATGAAACTTTGATTCTTATCTATGGATTAATGGATTATTGTGATTAAATAAACAGATAATTAGAAAAATATCATATACCATGAGGATGAAGTACGGGTATTTTGTACAGATTTCAGTATTGTTTTGGACAATAGGGAGTACAGCAGCAGGTGGCAGAACGTCAATAGTAACCCTCAGTCGCTGTCGGGTAGAATGCATAAAAAATGTAAGTAAAATATCGGAAAAAATTTTGTATACATATCAAAATCATCTCGAATTTACCCGGACTAGTTTTAAAATTCTGATTTCTGTTTATTATCATACTGTTAGGCGAAAGTTTTATAGTTTTGCATCTTAAAGTTTTTAATCTATATGCACTTCCGGTATCTTATGTATTCATAAGAAATTTATTGCCTTTCTTTTGAATCGTATGCCGATTCGACTGGAAATATACTGTTTTGAACAATCATATTTATTTTAAGATCTCCCATCGAATATATGTCTGTTCCTGAAATATATCATGCCAGCCCTGAACCATGGTTGTCTTTGTTACTGGTCACTTACTATTTAATTAAGTAGATCGTAGTCGTTCGGATGGGACTGAAATCCGAGGCCCCTTGTACACATTGGTATGCACGTAAAAGAACCTTGGAAGTTGGAAATAGGCCCTAGCGCCACTTTCCGTGTAAAAATTCCCCCATAGTACTATATAGCGTATACCCGTCTTTATTTGCCCAATCCACGCAGAAAACTTGGTCGTTAAAACCTATTTAATTCACTGGAGACTCATTGAAAGTATGACATCCTAAATATAATCATCTGACATTTATCTATATACAGAATTGTATAAAACAGTATTTACAATTATGAGGATACGAGAAACAAACTTATGCCATTGTTTTAATGGTTAAGAACTTATCAAAGAGTGATATCCACGATAGCATGACGGTCAATTGAAACAAATATTATAGATATAATGTGTCTTCCCAAGTTGCCCCGAATGGTACCGCAATTAATCTCAATCATACGATTTATTATTAAATGATGAAAACACATTAATTTTTGCCGTTTTAACGATACACATCTTCCGCTGCCATTATTCCCTCAGGGTATAATATCGAGATTCCAATGATACGTAATACATATTTTATGCGTTTCTTTCATATCATCTGTAGAATATCGACAGGCGACGGTTCAGTGCCATTATTGTTATACTATAGTATGTTTTTATGTCTGTCAAGGGACATGTACAATAACTGTTTTTGAAAGAAGGAATATTTCATTTACGTCATAGAAGAATCTCTTATATTTTCAATACTTAACTCTTCCGGGCTTTTACAAGCAGTTACAAATCAGGTGAGCGTTCATGTTAACATTATGATAAACATCACCTATATGTATTATAATAAAATTACACAATTGTATGACTCCATTCCCATCGTCAAATTAAAGAGCTATCCATTCTCGCTATAATAGTTCGAAAATAGATAATATAAAATGAATAATTTGAAAATTTCATTCAATTTACTCTATTGCGAGCGAAGATATTAACCTTTGAAGGTTTGACAAGACGTGTGCAATAATTTCAACCACCGTACTGGTTGTTCGACGCTAAGTCTCGCTCCTCCCTGGCTGAACTGTTCTAATCTATTTAATATCGGAGAAATCCGATGCCACCGAGAGATGATTATGGCCTGGATAAGTTCATTAATGTCTAATTATTAATTTAGAAAACATTTCAGGCCTGAAGAAAGACCCGCTGTAGGCAGATTTAGCTCTTGCATAATGTATGTTTAATTAGTCAAAATATTAAGTAACGAGACGTTACAGATATTGTATCGAAAACTTTTACAAAAATCTTTGCGATTCAATTGTTTGACAAACCGGTCGTCTGCTGATATGTTTCCAATATTTACCCTTTTTGTCCGACAAAATATCATTGTTAGGCCCGCTTTAGCTATACGGTAAATTAAAGTAACTGAATCGAGAATATTTGGGATCTAGAAATTGACACAAATGGCTCGCAATTCATATAAGAATCTATATGAATGTATATAAACCGATTTACGTTCAATCGTTCCCATTTTTACTCTAATTTCAAATCAGTTATGTTCGGCGAACATGGCAACCTCTAGCATCTGGTTATTCCAGTCTACACGAATAGTATATTTGCACATGCTCTCCAGATTTGAATATTACGTCACCTCACCGTTTGACATGACTTATGAAATATGTCTAACCCCGTTCTTCGATTCCCTTGTTACAAATAACACTGAAACGCATTATGGTACACGATTCGTGTACTAATGGTAAAATGTTTATTTTGTCTTAAATATTGGCTATTAGAAGCCATCTTTTCCTGGTAAGATCCCAACATCAATGTTGATTTAAAATGACAAATTATAAGCCTTTGGGTGATACTGGGTTAGAGACTTGGCTACCTTAACGTTTAAGCTTCGTCCATCGCCCTTTCGATAAACAATTGGCTCGTCTTTCTTTTTATTTTAATTCAGTCGTTTGAAGGCTTCTATTCTATATAAGTGGTTTAGCTATAATAGGTAAGAATAAACAACTCCCACTGATTGGCCATATATATATATATATATATATATATATATATATATATATACATACTCCCACATAGCTAAACCACTTATATAGAATAGAAGCCTTCAAATACGTGATACGGTGATTAACTGCTTACTAAAATATTAAAGATTTGGTGCCCTGAAGAATACCACGACTGCCATTACATCAAATTTATTGAAATATTTATTAAAACACTATAACCATTAACAAGTCTCTTTAAATAAAAAATACATACGGTACTTATTTCAGATTTTCTCAGCTATTCAAATTAAACTTTTAGAAAATTAAATTGTTTTGAATATAGTTCATCGGAACGAACCTTTCGGGGAAAAACCGATAGGGAGTAACAACAAACGTTAAATAAAAAAAGAATCGGAGAATGAAATTAATTTTACAGAATTTGAACTTTGGAATAGATTTTAATAGTATATTGTAAAATCTGTTTATTCCTATTGCCACCGAACGACGCCAGTCCTACTTTTCGGAACCGACTGAGCTGATGAAGGAGTGTGGAGGTGCACTACTGACAACTAAGAAAACACATTGTTTTACCGCGAAAGCGCCATGTCTTAATTCATTAGTGTGTTTGATTTCAGGTTGAGCGTCGTTTTCTATAGCCTTTATGAAAATAGAATCATCGAAAATAGATTTTTCAATTGAAAACTTTGTTTAATTTTCTGTTTTGTCAAGTAGGTTAGACGTTGGAACCCACACGCTGTCTTTCTTCTAATATTTCAAACAATGAATTTTGAGACAATCTGTAAGCACATACTACAGACGTTCTTAAAGTTAGTTAACATACTAATTGTTGATAAACACTAGAACCGCAATTATTAGAATAATGAACAAGACTTCGTATACCATGGAACACTGTGAATCTTATGTCGTTGCCTTTCATATACTTGTTTGTCTTTTTCGGTTACAAAATTTACAATGTAACTACATGTATATTTTAAAAAAAAGCACACTTCATGTGTGTGTATACCTCAACGCACTTGGTATTTCACCCTGCTACTAATTTAGCTGCACATCAGAACATAAGCCATATATTGCTTCGATAATTGCCCCAACTCCACCTGGATAACATTCCAAAACAGTAAAGTACGGTTAATAGACGAGGAAGGGTTAAATACTATAATTGATGTGAAATAAACACCTCATTCTGAAACTTAGTTTTCCCTACATCCTCACGATCGTTGATTTTTTTTCCAGGGGTGAAAAAAAAGGAAAAAAAGTTTCCCAATTTCAAGGGTGGCGGTATAAACCGCGGAATTAATTCATGTATATTATAAAGATTATACAAATATACTATTTTAAAAATTATTTCATTGTTTCGAACAATAATGACTTGCTTAAATATGTTTCATTGTCAAAAACAGCAATGCTTATTGTTAAAATGTCTTTGATTGTTTAGAACAATGATCGTGCTAAACTTCGTACTTTTAAAAATTGTTAAACACTATTCTTTCTTATTACATTGAATAACTTGTAATCGATTTTTCTGCTTGCATCCTGTGGGGTTAAACCTCCGTGCAGTTTATGACAATTTGCACTTAAGATCATCACGTTATTTTAAGCGTGGATGTTAAACTACTTATAATGGGTTGGGATTTTGGTCTTGTGAAACTCGGGCCCTGAAACAAAAATAGACAAACAAAAAAAAAAAAAAAAATAATGAATAGTCATGATAAAAATAATTAAACTGTTTATGTATTGTTTGTTATTTTGTATAATTTAACGACCAACAGGATAGTTTGGAAAAGGTCATTTGATAAATGTTTTATTTCATACAATTCTTGCGCAAGCTGGAAGTTAATTCAAAGGTCAATACTGTTAAACTCAATACTTTGTAAACATTCTGATTACCTTTAAAACTTTTTATTAATTCACTTTTTACATTGAATATTTCTCAATTTCCAGCAGTTTGTCCCCCCTCCCCCATTCTACCCCCGCACATAAATAGTTGTAATTTCAAAAGACAATTCTCTTATTGTGTCGTTCTTTTGTCGATTTAAAACAAAGATATAAAAAAATAGTTCTTTACGAATCTTACAACATCGCTACGATCACATCGTCGGACATAATTATCAGTATCCCTAATGCTTCTTTCACATGGTCTATCAACCGTAAGCTTTGTCTTTTCTTATAGAAATGCATAAAAGAGTACAATATAAATCCACCCCCTATTTTCTTTTATCTTTGCATAATCAATAATCAATGTCTTATAATAGAGTCTCAATACAATGTTTCATGTGTTATAAAACAACCTATCTCAGACGATACAGGAATTTAAACAAAACTTGTTTAGGAATTATTTTTATTTTATATACGTTTGAAATCGTAACCGGTTTTAATTTTCTGTTTGACGAACCAAAACACAATTTTGAGAAATGACATTTATGAATCCTATAGGATATCTCTTAACTACAATACAGTGGAAATTGTGTAGATATTTAGATGGTCAATTAAGCAAGGGGCTTCAAAAGTTGTTTTTCTTGATTAAGGAAAGATTTTCACTCTTTTTTTTCACCACCAGAACATCTGCTGATCTCATTTCCATCAAATGTTAAACAAGAATTGTGAGAGCTGGAGGTATATAGTTGCTAAACAAAATACACATCTATTTCTAGCTTACAG